CTCCATCAACGAGCTTTCTGCACCCACCCACCTGGGTACAAAGCACAACACATCCACAAGCCCACTCATTAGCACACTTGCAAATCTAAACAAACAATTCACCCTATAAACTAATCGGGCTCTTTCCTCTACAGGGCCTACACAGGAGGGAAAAAAGACAGAGAGCATGTTATTTTTATTTCTCTTTTCCAATACTTGGATCACACTCAGGCACTGTACCTCTGACAGTGCTTAAATGCCCAAGAAAGCTGCTGGGGTCAGAAGTATGATGTGGTCTTTGTCCCTATGTCACCCAGGGAATGGATACCTTTGTGCATAAGGAGAGACTCCCACGCCACCTTGAGCCACACAAGCACAGGCACCTTTGCACAACACTGCTTGGGGCTGTGAAACCATACCCCCAACTCAGCTTGCTGCTAAGCTGCCTTTAAATCTGTTAGCGGGTCCTGAGGAATGACCCACAAATCTTCTTTCGAATTTTTAATTAATTCTTTTCTGCTGAGTTCACTCCCCTTTTCTGCTGTGTTTCCATGAGCAATCTCACAAATCAGTTTACTGGCAGAGATGTTTGTAGACAAGGCAAATTTTAAGTCACTGTTGCATGTTATTTGCAGAAAGTGTATTTTGAATGTGTTATTACAGGTCTTTCCACTGTCTCCATTAAAACACAATCCTAGTGGTATAATGACACCTAAAACTTAGGCTCATGTTTGTACCCCAGCCCTCTAATAGCTGAAGAGAGGAAAGTGATAGCAAGAAAACCTTTCCATAAGCATAGCTTTGCTGACAAGTGCCCCTGTGCTGGATCAGACCACAGGCCCTTCTGTACAGTTGCTTGCAACAACCATAAGAAGAAATTCGAAGAAACGTGTGAACAGATCAATTAGTTCATGAAAGACAAGCATGCCACAGTATAAACCCATTAGAGATTTTGCTGTTGCTACTGATATCACAGGGAAGTATTCAAGTATTAAGGCAGGTGGGATAATGTGACTGATCAGACAAATAGGTGGGTTGATGAGCCAGTGTCATCAAAGTCAAGGAATGTACACGTGCTTTTAACATACAATTATTTCCATGGAGAATGTCAAATACTTTGCATAATTTTCGCTATAAACAATTTTCAACCCACAGCAGAATATATTTTTGCCTGAAAACACTGAGTGAACATAAAAATGATTACAAATTACTGGACACTGTGGCTTGAACATGAACAAATTGTTTACGACTTCAAAAGAAGATAATGCCTGATAGAGCAGGTCAGGTTTAAATAGAAACTGCATGCTTAAAATGAGAGAGCAAATGTGGTTAAGCTACAGCAAGAAACTCTCACCTGAAGGAGAGGATTGGCTGTGTTTGGACGTCTTGAAATCAACAACAGACCTCATTCAAAAGTCCCTTTTAGCTAAACATAAATGATGTGTTAGTCAAAGGCAAATTCCTGGGCTCAGTCCAGGAGTAACTGGGTGAAAAGTAATGGCCAGTGATACTGGGAAGGTCAAAACAGCTGATCTGATAGTCAAATAGTCATTTTAGCCTTCAACTCTGAGTCTGTGAGCGTACAATGGACACATGGTTCATCATGAAGAGTGGTGCACAGCCTCAGCTGATATAAATACACATTTGCACCGATTTGCACTTGATAAGCATCTGGCCAGGCTTGCTCAGCTGCACACTCTGGCATGCTGTGTAATCAAGTTTAAAACTAACAAATGACTGTAGCATACCAGAGCCCACGGGCCAGATGGTGAGTGGGGATTGCAGGAACCTTACCCGTGCACATGGCCATAGTCAGAGCAGTCTTGCTCTTGTCCACAAACTGTTCCTCATGCGAACTGAGGACAGCAGACCCCCAGGGAGGTATATTGAAAGCTTTTTGGTGTAAGGAGATCTCCTCTGGGTTATGTGGGGCTCTTAAAAAAGTGTTGTTTCACCCACGGTTGTGCTGGAAGATGCATCCCCACCAGGATACATGCACCATTCTCTGACCCAAAGCCAGCTCTGGACATCTTTTCTTATGATATATTTACGAGTTATTTTGTCCTAGATTGTATAACATTAAATCCAACTGGGTTTCTTAAGCGCTGCATCAGGCTAGGGTAGTGACAATGAACATCTCCTTTCCTATTGTCTGAAAGCTAATCTCAAAGGGAAAATTCAAGTTACTCTCAATTTCTGCCTGTTTCCACTTGTCTCCCCATGTATCACGCTACTAGTGTCTCCCTGTTTCTGAGATACTTTTTATGTATGTGTAGGTTATCATGCTCACAGTAGTTGCTGTTTAACCAATCTCTCCAGACTTTATCCTTTTAATCTTTCTTTCTGAATCAATTCCTCCACTCTCTTGATCATTTCAGTTGCTCTCCTTTGAACAGCTCCTGTTTGTCAATAACTCTTCCTAATGACTCATGTGGAACAGGAAATATGTGAGACTTCAAGGCACACAAATCTCACGAGCAGCACAGGTTCTGAATGCAGGATCCCAGAGATTCGTATGCAGATTCCTGAGTTAAGCCTCCGTCCTAATGCCAGAGCAGCAGCCTCTGGAGTTTTATTGAGCATCACATCTTGTGTTTGGCCCTGCTGGCTGCTTCACATGGAGCCTACGGGACAACCTGTGCGAGAAAGCCTGGCTGTGTGCTCACACGCTGGATATGAGGCCATGCCCAGGCCTCATTAGAAGATGTGCAAGAGATCTCTGTAGTTACAAGGAGTTCGCCTGCTTTGAGAGTGGCCTCAGGGCCTGCAGGAGGAAACACCGCAGTTATATCGCTCAACGTGCATAGGAGAGCAGGGAACAGCCAGATGATGTGAGGTCATTTACTGCAGCCACAACATGCTTCCACACGATGCATATGTATTCTCCCCACAGGTGGGGAGTAATGCTGAGGAGTAACACCGTGGATAAGGGGAAAGATACAGTCATTTAGCGAGGCGTTTTCTAAAATATGGAAATCCAGCCCAAATTATAGGAATATAAGAGATTGTAAAGTGCAGCAGGGGAGATATAAAATGGAGATTAAGGAGGGTATAAGGAGCTTTGCTGAACAAATCATACCATGGCAAATCTGTGCCCAGACTCTGTGGGCACCTGACTTCCCCCAGGGAGAAAAATGGTGCAGTTCTGCTGAATAAGAAGACGGGAGCTGGTTACAAAGGGGAGCTCGGGGTAGGGAGCCATCCCTCCCACAACACAGGAGTCATCACGCAGAGGCAGCCTTCCTAACAATGCACAGGACATAAGCATGGTGAGCCATCATCTGGCTCATCCCAGGGAGGCACTCAGGGTATATATACAGTTTCCTCAGCCATTCAAGTAAAGCAGCCTCCTCAGACTGACAGCGCTGCAGCTCCGTAAGTGTGGGGATGTGAAGAGATTCCTCTCCCAGAGCTCTTCAGGCTCTGTGACTCCAGCTTCTGATTAGGGCGGTGGGTTCTACCTATGGTGCTCTGGAAGAAGCTTGTTAGAGAAAACAAAAAGCACGACAGTAAGAAGCCAGGAGCCGCTGCCTCCCATGAGTGTGCATTGCCTTGCTCCAGCTGATGCACAGCAACTCATCCATTTGCAGTGGAGTAACTAGTAGGGTAGCTTCTGAGGTGGGTGCCTGGGAGATGCCAGGTGAATGAGAAGGACAGAAATGTCCTGGTTCGGTGAGACGCAGGCTCAGGATGCCCAGCTACCCTAACAAACCCTCATCCTTCCTGGGCCTGCTGTAACTTAGTGTATTCCAGGCTTGATCTCAGTCCCTGCACATAATGGAGAGCTGTGCACGTCACTCAGTGCACAAACCAACCTTTGGGCCCAACGCTACAGAGCAGTGTGTTAAGCTGCTGCTGGACATGTGTGCAGCAGCTGTGAAGGTCAGCAAAGAGACCTTTCTGCCTGTAACACCGAATGGACATTTTGCAGGCCTAATTTTCCTCTCTCCTGATAGCCAAAGCTTGACCACATGTTCTTCTGCCCTGGGGCTGGATGTGTCTCTTGTACTTTTGAACTGAAAGCACTCCATTGCAGCAGGAGAGATGCCTATGTGTGGGGAGAAGCAAACCATTTGCCCCTGCTGTGCAGAAAGGTGCTTTGGGGACCTCTTCTCCTGCACTGATGGACATCTGCCCTTCTGAGATCGTTTCAGAGCTGTGTGTCTGTCATTCTGTGTAATTTTTGTGCAGTAGAGCTTTGATATCAATTATTTCAAACAAAGTGGTTGAAAGTTACTGCCTGGCAAGGGCAGGTGAGTGGATAGTGGCCATCAGCACTGACTTCAGGACTGCTTGGCTAATCCAGAAGGTTGAGGCAGGAGGGCTGAAGTGTCAACAGCATAAAGTGTTTTGGTAACTGGAAAGGTAAAAGAGCCACTGCTGGTTCACCAAACCCAGTCTCCTGCTGCCTTGGCCAATTTCTCACTTCATCCTTTCCTAGAGTGAGATCTGGCACATGGAAAGCAGTGAGTGTTTTTCCTCTGTGTTTTTTTCAGATGGGGAGATGAGGACAAGAGTAGGAGGAGAGAGTAACTCTTGGATGTGTGCAAAATTCCCAGGCTGAGAAGGGTCAGAGACATGAGAAGATGACAGTAAATCAAGATGTGAACTTCAAAGTGGATGATAAACATCTGCAAATGCCTGAGAAACAGAGTTCAGAGTAGTTGAGCTATTAGCTGTTTGAATGAGCAGGTAGTGCTCATTCAAACAACTTTTTGTACAAATGCCTGTGGGACTGAGGGGCCAGGAGGGGAGCGATTATTGTAACCATGTTTAACAAAGAAGCTAAAGATGATCCAATTATAAAATAGAGAGCCTTACCTCTAAACAAGGAGAAAAACAATGAAAAAAAATCATTAAAGATAGAGTTAGAAAGCTTCTAGACGAGTCTAACACGATAGAGATAAACCTGTCTGTCCGTTTCTGTAAGTGTGACTTGTGCTCCTCTAGCCTATTAGGATTCTGGGGAAGAGTTAATGAAATACTGGGCTGAGGAGACGGGGTGGGGGGGATATAATTTATTTAAACTTTTCAAAAGGCTTCTGATACAGTCTTTCACAAGCAGCTATTAAAGAAATTTGTTACCCGTAGGGTGGTAGGCAAAGTCCTGACATGGATTAAAACCTAGATAAGAGGTAAGAAACAAAGGAAAGGAATAAGCGTCCAATTCTCTGCATGAAAGGAGGTTAATAGCAAGATGCTCCAGGGATCAGCATCAGGACCAGGGGTGTTCAATATGTTTATTAACGATCTAAGAGAAAGAGGAGAACAACACAGATACAAAAATTTTGCTGATGGCACAGTTTACTTCTTGCAGGCAATTTATTGACTGCGTTTGACTCTCTTCTTGTGTTCATGGCTTGTCTATGAATAGATCACAAGTTTTACTAATAGGCCTATAAATATAATTGGAAGTATGGCTCAGTCTGGTGAACAGTACTGAGACTGATTGCAGGAGGAGACGTACCGGAGCTGGAACATCAGCCTGGGGATGGATGCAGAGACAGAGAGCAAGCAAGCTTCAGCATTCAGCGCTGGCCCCCCCATCCGCTCTGCAAAGTCCTGGTTCCTGTAACTCTGCCTGTGTCTTCTATCACTGCCTGCTGATGCACAGGAACAGCCGTGGTGTAAGCAGTGTTAGCAGACTCACATGTTCTATTGTCGCACTATTTCTTACCTTCCCGCATGGCTTGGATCTGCCATGGATTCATCTGAAGTCATGGTCCTTTGCCAGCCTCCTCCCCGAGCCTGTATATTTTTTGGGAAGTGTGCACTCATGTATGTGCTCTTATCTGTATCTCTCCTGCTTTTCTAAGACCCAGTTTGGCAGATCCTTCACTGTGCAGCCAAGCTTTTTGCTGCAAACTTTAGGAATTAAGCACCTACAGCCGTGCCTTGCACCCTGCCCCATCCAGCTCTACCTTCCACACTGCCTCCTCCTGCTGGCCTTCCACAGGCTCCTAGTCACTATTCATCACGCTGACTGAAACACTCAGCTCCTCGCAAGGTAGTTATTGTAGGCAAGTTAAAAGTCCTCCTTCACAGTCACTGCTGCCACATAAGTTTGTTCAACTCGCTGTATTAAAGTCATTAGTGCCAGGCAGCCCTGGAGAAATGCTTTATATCGTCATTTTCCCCTACAGTTCGGCGACCATTTTTTACGCAGTTCAGATCTCTGCCACAGAGTTCCTCAGCACATGCTTAAGGCTGCCTGTATTTACATCCTTTGCCAGACAAGAAACATCTTAGAGACATTATTAGAGAAAACCACATGTTCAAGTGATTTCTTAAATTGGAGCTTTTTAAAATTAATTGGTCTCCATTTGATAATCACCCACTTGTAGCCCACGGCTACCACCAGAAGCCTCTTTCTCCCTCCCACCTGTGGTCATTGAATTTTGTTGTATTATTTCAGCCTCCCCCAAAGGAAAAGGGGACGCGGTAACTTTCTGACCAGCTCGGGAGACAGAACTCCTGTCCCAGCGTGGTGTCAGCATGACAGATGACAAACAGCTTGATCGGTACAGTGGCTGTGAACACGGAGGAGGAGTGCTAGTCGGTCTGTATGATTCCTTGGCACGAAAGGTGTTACTGCTGAAGAAGAATTTCCCAGATGACATCTGATTCGGCAGTTCCTCTGTTGTGACGCTGACGACTTGGAGGGTGATGCTCACCCTTTCTCCCACCTACCAGCAGCTACCAGGGAATGAAATGAGGCGAAGGGGCACTCCAGGCACGAGTGTATTCAAGGACCAGCAGCAGCAGGGATGACGTGGTTGTACTCACAGCAATGAAGTTTGGTGTTTGAAGGCAGCAATCCTTCGTGCGAGCTGCTGGCGTTGTCGCTTGACACTTCTCACCAGCTGGTGAGTAGGAAAAAGTGTTCTGGTGTCACAGGAAAATAAGTGGCTGCAGCGTGTAGACGAGTTGCTGGAGGTTTTGTAATGCCGTTTTCAGTCTTTTATATATATATGCAATCACAGATGAGCAAAATGGCCTCCATCTCAAAGCTACTCCGTTCTGTCAGAAACAAGCTGGAGCAGCCAGGCGGTCGCTTGAGTTATGGCACAAAGGGAAGGTGCTAAGAAGGCAAATGCAATCCAAACTCCAGCTCAGCATGTTGCAAACAAATTGAGCTGCTGTGATCAAGTTGTGAAGAAAAAGAGGTTTTCCTATTACTTATACAGCAGTCCTAGACATGGGGGTAACAAGCAAGCTGGAAATGGAAATTCCCATTGATGAGAAGAAATTTGATATTATTGCCATTGGCGAAGCCTGCGGGGATTAGTCACATGGCTGAAATGCTTAACAGTCTAGTTACAGACGGTTAAGGAAAAATGGAGTAAAGGCACAGGGGTGATGCTCAGCATAAAAGATGCCACTGTGTCTTTTAGTCCCTTGATTTTTCAGAGCAGAGTCCAATTCTCGTGTTTACTTGCAGAAACTTTCAGAGGATTACTGTTGGGGTCTTTCAGCCACTTCTAAATTAACTGATGGAAAAATAATGATTCTGCTCCTCTCTGTAGCATATGGAAATACAAAAAAAAAAACAGTTATTATGGAAGGATTTTAATTTGAAAGCATTTTAGGGGTTTTATGCAGCCAATAGCAAACATCATCAGTGCTTCTGAAGTGTGGAGATGATCATTTTCTACTGTGAAATCATTGCAGTCGGGTTGAGGTAAAAGTCTAATGTCGTTCTCATTAGGAAGGACAACGAATGATGAAAGGCTGGTCTGGAAGCTGCTGGTTGTCTCTGAAGGGTGGGTTTCAAGTCAAAGAGGGATTCAGGCTGAGAAGGACAGATGTGGAAATCAGTATAAAGTAACAAAAACTACAGACTTACCAAATGTATTTAAGAACTCATTACACTGATACCCACAGGCTTGATAGGAAAGAGCCTAGGAACCATAAATAAAGAGAGGGAAACATTCAGGACAATTATAAATAACTTAAAAGAATGATAAGCTCCTGGACTGCAAATTGGCACGAGGAACTATTCAATGATCCATGCTTAACAGGATGATTAGTGTATGACTAGTTAATAACAGTGCACGGAAATGTCACTGGGAAAAGTAGAGGTATGCACCTGCATAAGCTTTTGGACAACATTAACAGTAAAAATAGGTGCTAAAGTGCTACAGAAAGGGTTGATTTTGCATTTGCAAGTGTCCCTGCACCTGCACATGCACATACAAAAGCAATTGCAAGTGCCTGTCCAAATGATCACAGGGCTGATAGCGTTAATAAAAGGTGATACTCACAGGATGCTTGTTCAAACCTGTTGCAGGAGAAGCTGGAAGCCCCTGGGAGCAGCTAAAGGGACCAGTGATCATGGTTTGATTGCTCTCAGTATGAGCAGAGGAAGATGGTGCCAAGCAATAATATATATATACTTGGCCCTCTGCAAAGGCTAACTTCTCAAATGTCAAAAGTAAAATTTATTAGAGGAGAGAGTACAATGTCTATATGTATTTGTATAAATACTCATTTATGTATGAATGAGAATTGGGAGTTCCTTCAGCAAAGTTTATCAGAGGCCTCAGAGGCCACCGTGACACAGTCACGTAAGAGGATGACAGCGGAGGAAAACTCAATAGGGCTGAGCAGTGAGAGGAACTAAAGATCACTCCACGTTCAATCTTCTCCACTTCATATAGATAATGGAGAGAGCAGCCTCAGTCATAAGAGGACAAGGACCTGTCCCTGTGGTGGGTTCGTGGCTAGGAGAAGAGGGAATCTGGGCCAGCTTTGGTCTCTGGTGGGTGGTAGGGATAGTAGGGAGGGGAGGGGGATGGTTGGAGCGTCCTCTTTGCTAAGGGAGTGGGGGAATTTTATGCCCCCTCCAGTTGTTGAGCTGGTGCTGCCAAGTGCCACACTAAGAGGCTCTTGTGGCCCTGACATTTCCGAAGTGTCTTTTCAGGCCTTCACGTCAGAGCTGACTCGCGCCCAGGCAGACAGGATCCCTCCCACGTCCAATTACTCATGGCAGCCTGTGCATTTGCTTTGTCACTTGACCTCATTCCCCTTCCTTTCCCGGAGGCAGAGGTGCTTCAGGCAGCGGAGGGACGCTGTCCGTCCGAGGCTCAGATGCCTCTGTCCTCTCGTCATCCTCTCACAAGCTCCACAGAGTGGTGGGAAGGGGATTAAGCCACTGGGTCCACATCCACCCTCTCCCACAGATTTCCTTGGAAGTACACAAGGGATTCTGACTTCCACACAGTGCCGCATGCTAGGCCTACAAGACACAGCAGGGAAGGAGAGAGAGAATAAATGCGTGCTCAACCGAGACCTGGAGTACTAGCCTAGGGCTTTGCACTTGGCAGATCCTCATCTCAGAAGAAAACTTTGTGGTGCTATTACCAGTCAGCACTTCTCCCTCACTCTCTCCCTTTCATCTAGGTTGCTGCAGTTGCATTTAATGACACAACAGATGTATTCATTTGCATCTTTATATGGATCTCTAAGCTCTACAAATGGGTGGGTGGGCGTGACCCCATTTTCCCAAATTATTCAGCACCTTTCAGTTATGCATTTCTCTCTTTTCTAATGTCTTTTTGAAGCACATGCAAGCAGCAGTGGGGAATTACTCTGCTGTTTTCGCCTGAGCATCTGGGTCCTGATCACTCCTCTGGCTGCCTATGTGAATCTCCCTTAGACAGCAGGAGCCACGGAGATGTCTGTGCACGGGTGGACTGCCTCCTTCACCACGTACACACACTTCCTGGGGGGGGGGGGGAAGGCACAGATTTATCTAATAAAGCCCAAAGACAGCTATGGGGAAGAAATCATGGAAAAAAAAAAAAAAAAGTGACACCCTGTCTATTTATCGAGGGTGATGACAGCTCTGCTGCTGCCATCAAGAGATCTGTAGTTGCATTTCTGGGATGTGGGTGAGTTAAAATATTTCCCTTCGCCATCTGAAGGCGGTGTTTATGTGGAGCTGCTTGAAGCACGCTCCGTGCTGATGACTAAGGGAGATGCTACCTCCAGCGTGGAAGACCTGTGAGCATGGTTGGGTGCTGGGGTGTGCTCTTCAGAGCTTCCTCTGCACCAGGGCCCAGGTCCTCAGCCCTGAGACGGGGGGAACCAAGTTACAGCTAGAGCAAGAGGGTTTAAATGGGTGGGGAATGTGCCTGCACACAGGGCTGGGTGCCCTGGAAAAGCACAGCATGCTGCATTTGTCCTGAGTCTGGAGCAAAGCATTGCCACCACTTGGCCAGCTGCACAGAAATGGAGACAAGGAGAAGAGAAGAGAGGAGGGGAGAGAAACATCTGTTTCTCACTTAGCTGCCATACATACCCAGGCAGAACATGGAGGAGCAATCCCAGGCCTTGCAGATGCACAGGAGAGGAGAGCTCCTGTCCCATCTCTCCTCCTACATGCTCTTCATGTAGTCCGGGTGGCTCCGGGGCCATGTGTCAGTGAGAAGCTCTTGCTGTGACACCCTGTGAGTGCAATGAGTAAGGATGCTGGTGCCTTCGGCAGAGATCAGCTCCAGTTTAATTTATGAGCCGTGCTTTGTGTGTATCAAGCTATGGCCAGATATAATGTAATCCCATCACCGTGTGTGTGCTGAGCACAGCTGTCAATCAAAGGTGATTTGCATCAGTACATTTTCATATAAATATGTATGCTCTCTCGCTAACATTATTATTATTTATTATTTGTGTTACAGTCGTGCCTCGAGGCTTCGGCAGGGACCAGGGCCCGGTTGTGCTGGGTGTTGCACACACAGCGAGAGGCAGACCCTGCTCTGCACAGCTTCCAGACCAAACACATTGCAACAGGCACGGTCTGGTGTGCCTAGGAGAAAAAAAAAATAAATCATTTTTGAAGTAAGAAATGCTGGATCTAGCAAGCCAGTAGCACAGCTAGGAGCAGACCTGGGCTCCTGGTGACTTTTGTCTTAACACTCTTCCCATTATATTTCTCCAGAATAACAACAACAAAAAAAAAATGCAACTTTGCATCTTTGACTTCTTTTTAGGGAGCAAATGGATGAGACATTTTACAAGGTGGAAATTCCCTCCTCTTTCACCAGGAATGGAGCTCCTTGCTCTAGCTTATGTGAATTTACCCTAGGCCTTGCACCATGTAAAGTGAGATTTCTTCTCCTCCCAAAGTCCTGCCCACAAGGATCACCTGAATGCAGGAGGCTCTTCTCCAGTTCCTGTAAAAGGGCAGTGCCAAGGGCATCTCTGGCAGGGGTCTGGGAGGTGGGGTGGCATATGCACAGGAGGAGATGTGAGATATGAGGTTATGAGGAGATAGGAGATATGAGGAGATATGAGATACAAGGAGATATGAGGTATGAGGATGCACAAAAGGAGACAAAGGGGAGCAGCAGACACAGCAGGGGACATGTGGAAGGGGGCAGTGTTGGAGACAGGGCTGGGGACAGGTCCTGGAGGGAGGTGCTCCGTGCTGGGAGTACCTCAGGGGAACTGTGACTGTGGGGGACCAACACTGGAGCAGGGACACCCCAAGGGACCCTGACACACAGAGGACCCAGGCTGGAGCAGGGAATGAGTGAGGAAGAAGGAGAAGGGGAAGAAAAGAGCAAGAAACCAGGAATGGCAGCAAGAAACCATCACGTACTGACCCAGCCTCCTGTAAAAACAGGGTGGGGGAGAGCTGGTGGGAGAGAAGTATTGGACTGAAGCTGAGTCTGGGGAAGAGGGAGGAAAGGGACTTCCCTCAGTGTTTAATTATTTAAGTCTTCTTTGTTTTCCAACACACAAATCAGTAAATAAAGGTTTATGTTAATTGGAAATAAATCAAATTCAGTGAAATTCCCTGAACTGAGACTGTTTTGCCCACAGCAGACACATATGAAAAAATTGAAGGTTTCTTAGCTCAGAGGGCTATGAGGAAAAGCTTTAGAATCATCAAAAAAAGTGCTTAAAACCAGAAGCAGAGCTCAAAAAGCCCACAGTACTTTTCTTGTTATAAATCTGTACATAGCCACTGATTTTGCAAGAGCAAACACCAGCAGATGATGATGGAGGTCCTACACTACTGTTGACCCTGGAGCTCAGGCTTACATCTAACATGTTGGTGTGACTGGTGGAACATAGAGTATATTAAAACAGACAGCTTTCCTTTTTATCAGTCTTCATGAACCAGCTTAAAATAATATTTCACATTCTCTTTTTCTCATCCCTTTTGCAGAACTGCTTTGCTAACCGATCAGGATTGCCAGTGACCACGTTTGCCAAGAGAAAAAATACTGTCAGACTCAAAAGCAGTAGGTCCCACCCATTGCACACTGGTCCTTCTGTGCATACATAGACTAATCTGCACGTGTCAGCTGCACATGTAACAATGCCATACCACAGTCACAATAACTCTACAGAAATGCAGTAGACTGCCACCCAAAGCACGGGGCAGCTGGCTGTCCTGGTTTATTCAGCTGAGTCTTCTGATGAAATTCAGGGCACCTCTTCAATCAGTCAAGCATCTTTCAGACAACATAATCCCTCTTTGTTTTGACTTTGTTTTGACTCTTCGTTTTCTTCTGGGTGTGCTGAGAGTAGCTACGCTTGTCCATCCTAATTGTCTTGCAGACTCTAGCCTGAGCCTAAAGATGACCTGCTGGCCATACAAAACTACATCAAAGTCCCATATATTCCTGTACCAGCACCTGGGAAGAGACAGATCTCAAGGTCCAACAGTGAACCAGCCAGTGAAATCTAATAGCAGCAATGGCAGTCAGATTTATGTAACATTTATGAAATCAATAGTTCTGGACTCTCCAAAATGACTTGAAGAACAAGACATCATACAATGTAATTAAGCACAGGCAGCAGTGGGCTTTCTCTGCCTGTGAACACCGCTGCAAATCTGTATTCACTTTAACGTGAACAGCAGTTGCCTTGAACTTGCTGCTGATGATACAAAAATACCATTGTCACTAATCAAGGCTGCTTATAATGTAACAGGCACCCAACCTTATTTTAATGGGGCTGCTGTCTGAGCTTCAGCATCCTGCAGGAACCAGGTAGGAGATGAATGGAGTTTGTGAGATGAATCTAAGTTTCATCTATATGTGCAGACCTTGTTCAACTGATTTCTCATGTTTTTGCCGAAGCAATGTCAAAAGATGCACTGAAGTGTATTGAAGGATCATGGCCTCTTCCTCACCCTAAAGCAGTGGCTCTGCCTGAGGTGTTGGGTGGGTTTGTAGCAGAGGTGAGTGAGTGCTGTGCATCTCCTCCAGTCTTCATACAATAGACTTTTCCTTCCTGTGCCCCACACTGTCAGCACTCCTATCCCATCCACTACACATCCTTGTATTTACATACAAGGCTCACATGCAACACAGGGCAAGAAAACAGTCTGTGATTAAGCCCTAAATGAATCATAAACATAGGTAGTTGAGAAGAGGATGGAGGAGAAAGGGCGAACATGTATATTAATTTTTCCAGTCTTCCTTAACTGTTTTGTTTTCCCGTCGGATAAAAGGCACTCGGAGGTAGAGGGGTGGATGTCACAAAGCTGTCATCAGGCTGTTTTCCACGCTTATTTTCTGAAATTTGAAATGACACTGAAAGTTGAAAATCTGAAAAAGGAAAAAAAAAAAAAAGAATTCTTCACAGAGCTATCTGTACACCTCTGTCATAATCTTAAAAGGAGAGATATATTTTTAACAGCCTCAGGGGAAAAAACATGTTAGGAAAGTTCAGAAAAGCCTGAGTGCTGTTACAATCCCAAAATGCTTCTAATCACTGAAGGCATTGCCTTTTTAACCTTCTTAGCTGACTCTAACACTCTCCCCAGCTCTGAGTAACATCTTGCTCCACCAGCACAGCAGCCTGTCTCTACAAGCAGACCCAGGGATGTAACCTCACAGGCAACCAGTGCACTTTTGAAGCTGTAAGTCATCAGTCCTATGCAGAGCCAGCCTCTAAAGGCTCTGTTCAAGCTCGGTTATCTGATGCAATGGTTTTCAACTTATTCAACACTGCTAATGGCTTATGGACTGTGTCAAAGGGAGACACAGAAGGTAAAGAAAAGTCACTCTAATATCTCTAAACCTAAGTGTTTGACAAAGGGATCTGTGCAATTTTTCAAGGTCCACAAATAGGATTGAAAACCATGGCGAGGTACTTTAGTCTGCACTGAAGTATCTGTATTAGTCTGCCCTTCTGAGATGCTGAGTGCTAGCTGCTGACTGCTTCAGTGTGACCAAAGGGTCTTTGCCCTTCTGCACCTCCCCAAAGGCCTAAGTGTCAGAGCTGGTAGGAACAATTTACCAAGTTAGTAAGGAGTGATGGAAAATATAACATGGAAGATTAGCACTTAATTCTTACTTTTTTTTTTTTTTTTTTTTTCCTTTAGCTTTGGCCTTTACACTGTTTTATTTATTATGCATCCTCTCTTTTCTTTGGAGCCCCCTTGTCTATTCACTGAGTCTGTTTTCACTATTGAACCTATCGTGTCCTACTTGTTGAAAACCTACTGAACCTATTTACTAGTGAGAAAGCATGGTTTTAACTGTTATCATAAAAACTGGTTAATCTAAATCCTCGAAAATTATGAGTACAAATGCCAACAAATCAAACTAATTTTGCATTGTTGAGTTCCTAACAACCTCCCCACAAAATAACTCCCACAAAACTCAAAAGCTCTTACCTTTATTTTTTTTTCTTCAATATTTGCTGGCAACCTTTCTTTTCCACTACTCATTCAACCATTCTTAGGCTTTTTTTCCCTTTTATTTATTTATTTATTTATTTATTTATTTTTTTCCCTGGGTTGGGGAGTGGTGCTTAAAAAACCTGGTCTTTTCATAGAGGTGACTGTAGTGATAAAATAAACATATTTATGTTTCACTTTCAACAATCATCCTATCATACTGTACTACTCCACCAGCAGGTTAGTGGCATGCTCAGCTTTCTGCAAGTATAGTGGGATCTTCCACTTTTATATAGTGTGTGATTGAGCTTATAGGGGCAGGGAACATCTGCTCCCCACATTTGTGTGGTGCTGGATATACTGAAGAACTCTTCTTGGTTGGCCACTCACTACAGGTGGCTACAGTCTTCATCATTAATAATAGAAAACAACAACTCAGCTGGAACATCAGGGTTTCCTTCATTTATTGGATTATTTTTCCCTGAAAATATTAAAGAAAATTATCATAGAATCACAGAATGGTTTGGGTTGGAAGTGACCTCAAAGCCCATCCAGTTCCACCCTCCCTGCCACGGGCAGGGACACCTCCCACCAGCCCAGGCTGCCCAAAGCCCCATCCAGCCTGACCTTGAACACCTCCAGGAATGGGGCACCCACAGCTTCTCTGGGCAACCTGGTCCAGTGCCTCACCACCCTATGAGTGAAGAATTCCTTCCTTATATCTAATCTAAATCTCCCCTCTTTTAGTTTAAAGTCATTAGCCTTTGTCCTATCACTACACTCTCTGACAAAGAGTCCATCCCCAGCTTTCTGTAGTCCCTCTTTAGCTGCTGGAAGGCCGCTGTAAGGTCTCTCTAGAACCTTCTCTTCTCCAGGCGGAACAACCCCAACTCCCTCAGCCTGTCTTCATCAGAGAGGTGCTCCAGCCCTCTAATCATCCTCATTGCTCTCCTCTGGACTCATTCCTTAAAATTATGTTTTATGAAAATTAATTTATTTTTAAAACAGGTGCATATTATGCAATCTCCAAAGTGCATAAATTGAGTAGGAGGAGAATTTTAAAAAGAGACATTTAGCCTAAGTTATTCTGTCTTCCAGTTCCCCCTTGTAGCATTCATGGGCTTCTCTGATAGTTTAACTGTATGTGAATTTATATATCTGTTGTTAGGTGGGCAAATTCAAGAATGCTGCCCTAAATTAGTGGGGATTAGGAGTCTGCAAAATAGAGAAATTAGAGTCCCAAATACCCTTTTATACGGAACTGCAATCAAAACTTAAATGCACTCATCTTCCCCCTCCCGCCCCCCTTTGAGAGCTCAGCACAGCTAGAAATACTTGGCTTTAAAGATCATTTCCAGCAAGGCTGTAAGAGAGCTCAGGTCCCAAAAGATGAAGGATTCTTTTTTTTTCTCAGATCTTCCAAGCAAAATTCTAGGTTAATAGCGCTGTCTTCACTCTTTCTTCATCATATACCTGTTTAAAAGGTACAAACATCTTCCAATATGCCAGCCTGACAGAGCTCAGATGGGGGAAGATCAATACATTATGGCCTTGGTAAGTGATTGCCTTTATGGCTTCAGCTGCTTTAGGATTTGCTCTGTCTCATGTACATCAGACACAGAAGCAATAACAGTGTTGCCTTAACTGGCTGCTTTTGTGTTTAAAGCAATGATTTCCTGGGCTCGTGCACTTGCACGCCGCCTCACTGAGACCCCTGGCTAGATTTCATCACACGATCCCAGCTCTCCCAGTTCACAGGGCCGTGAAATAGCCCGAGAGGCAGCAGGACACATGTTCGGCTCATGAACTTGTACTCATTCATGCCGACAGGATGACAACCACGTCGTGGGCTCCGCAGGGCCAGCCAGAGCTGGTCACGTAGCCTGGCTGCCCTCCAGGGGCATGGCCCGGCCCAGGGGCTCTGCACTGAGCTTAGGTTATCTGCTTACCCCTTTACTGATGCTTGCAGCCTGTTGAAGCCAAAGAGCACACGATGCTGGCCTGAATACCCTTTAAAAGGTGAACGGTGACTGGGGGCACCAGTGCCCCCTAGTAAAAAGCAAATACAAAAGGAGACTTTCTCTGTCAGTAAACAAAACAAAGCGAGATGATTTTTAAACCTTTTGGCATGTCTGGGTGTCTTTACCACCACTGATGAAGAATAAACAATGCAATTATTAATTATTGATGATCACTAATAAGAATGATGATTACCATCATCATGATGCGGTCTCGCCATTCCTGCCACCTCTCTAATCAGTGTGATCTTGCTGCTATTATACATAATTGCGATCTTCCAAGTCAGGGCAGGCGAAGAAGCAACCTTTCAGTGTAAATACTAAATACTTAGCATAACAAGAGTGAGAGCTCCCCGGCTCGGAGCAGAGCTAAGCGAAGTCGCGGGCTTCCATTCTTTTTAATTTACCATCTGTTCTGTATGACACAGCCTGCGTCTCTTTAGGGTTTAGTACCCATTTATTATCTGAAAGCCACCTCTGCCTGCTATTAAAATCACGTTGGAGTGATTTAGAGAGGGAATCCGTCCATTTGCCCAAGTGGAAAGACGTGCCATCAGCATAAACCTAAGCACTGCAGCCCTTCCCGGGCTCCAGCCCTTTCCCTGCTCCGTTCCTTTTGCTCATTCACTTCTTCGTATACCTTGCAGTGTGTGTGCATGCCCCTTACTCGTGTCCCAACACATGCCTTGTTCCCACAGCCTATTACTCAGCATTACCCACTCTACTCCTTTCCAGCTCTTTCGGTCTTCACCATTATTTAATAAAACACAGCACAGATAAAGATAATTGCCGTCACTTCCTCAGGCCCCTGGGACATCTCGGAAATCTCCCGCAGGTGCCCAGACAAGCATCTCACCCTAATAGCGAATGACTGCTGAACTAAGACAGAGCTTTCCAACAGTCTCCACAAATTGAACCCAACAATGCCACCTCCACCTCCATCGCTGCCGTCCGTGGCTTTAGCCACTTCCAATTAACTGAGCGGCCCAGAGCTTTCCTTGGGGACCTGGGACAAACAGGATCCGGGTGGAAAACAAGCCGAGGAAAGCAACACAATTAAATGCAAGGCAGCTTGGCTCCAGCGCCTGGGGCGGGTCTGCCGGGGAGGACGGGGACCCCAGGGGAACCCACAGCCTGGAGCTCGGTCCCTACGGAGCCATCAGGGGGGATGCAGGTGGCAGAGCACAGCAGAAAGAGGTAGCAGTGCCCATCTCTGCCCACCTGCGTGACTACCAAGGGGAGAGCTTTCTGAGCACTAAATATTTAGGATCTCAGTTGGTTTGCTGAGACAACAGCCATTTTGTTCTCAAGCTTGCTACAGGAGAGGGACGTGCTACGTTTTCCCACTCAGGGTGGAAGATGAATATATTCATTGCCCCAACTTAAAACAGTTTAATGAAAACTCCAGCATCACTGATGTGTCCTTGCTAGCTGTTATTTTTCCTTTACCTGCTAGACTACAGTGGGGGAAGGGAGGAGGAGAGGAGAAAGAAGACAAGGGAAAAATGAGTATGTTCTCACCAGAAATTCTGAATTGATTCAAAATGAATTCCTCCCCTCTATTTTGAATCAATGCTTCAAAATCAAAAACTCAATTTTTGTTTTAGCCTCAAATGCTTTTCCCCCCTCCACCAAAGAGGTTACAGCATATGTTGAGAATTTTTTTTTTTTTTTATTTTTAAAAAGGAACAATACCCTGAAAATGAAATGACAGGTTAGACTTTTTAGTATTTCATTTAGAAATGGTGATTTGACATGGGAGTTACAATTCAGTACTTTCCTCAGGGGGTGAGCATGTGATTCCTAGAGGGCTGATGGAAAGCGGGGATGCTTGAAGTACCAGGGCTTCTCAAGAAGTAGGTCACTTGTCTCTGCCACCCTGTCTGCTTGGACAGACTGAAGCTGGACAGCTATTTGCCTGCATGGGTGGCAAAAGGGTAGGAGGCATCCCAGGCACAGTTTGATTCATTCTGGCTAGCCTCAGCTAAGAGCTGTGCCTGTAAACTGCAGAAGATGAGAGAAACAGTGCCATGAGATGGTTAAGGGCTCCATCTGATTTCAGTATAAGCCTGGAGCTGCTGGAAGATGAGTGCAGTGCGAACAGCGTATCACCCTGCCATGTCCTACCCATCTTGTGAACAGAGCAGCCCTCCCGCACACCACAGCTAATCCCGCAAGGTCTGCGTGAGCAATCGCAGCACAAAACTGCCCTGTGGAAAGATCAAAGCACATTTGTGGCTGCTGGAGAGAGAGACACCTGAAAGAGCAGAGCCGATCCCGTGCCAGTTCTGCCACGTGTGTCCAGACAGAGCTCACCCGGGTGGGAGAGCCAAAAGTTGCTGCAGGCCAGTGGTGCATTAGCAGAGATGTGTGTGCATAGAGGAAGCTGTACAGAGCTAAGTTTAGCTCTAGTCAACACCATCAGTCTTTCACTTTCATGAGCACTAAAATTGACTGAAACTCACTCAAAATATGTATTTTAAAAAATGGGAAAGGAAAAGAAAATGTCCGGTTCCTGTAAGATGATCAATAACAGCCAGAGCTAGAGATGACTTTTTCAGCCACAGAGAAACAACTGTTATTGTTGAATTGCTCGGGAACTTTGCCAGTGGACAAAGATAAACTAATAATGTCAAGGAGAGGAGGGGTGAGATTGCTGAAACCTTAGCTACGGTAAGAAGGTTGATGGAAACACTTTCAAGGGGCATGTGGCAGGCCTCACAGAAAGCAATCAACTCAAAGCAGGCACCAGGGAAAGCTGGGGGTGGGAGAGCACGCACCTATGGCACCGCCGCACTGCTGCTGCTGCAGCTGCTGCTGCCCTGAGCAGGAGGGGCTTGGGACAGCACATCCCCCTGCTGCAGGTGCTAAGCCACAGGACAGAAGGGCAGGCTCCTTCATGCAATATTTTGTTGTCCCCAGCCCGGCTGCTTCTGTCCCCAAGCAGGTGTGGAGCCCAGGAAGGTGAGAGGGGAAGGCAGGTCAGGGTGGGAGCAGGGGACACCCACGGAGCAGCCCTGCAGCCCCCCCAGCTAATTGCCCTCCGTTGCCAGCCCCGCTTCAGACACGTAGTGCTTAATGCTGCAGAGTGGACGCTGCCAAGGCTTCACTTCTGCAGCTGCGTCCCCTGTTCCCGTGGCTCTGCAGTAATCAATTGTGAGCCTATGCATCACCCAGAGCATGCAGCCCTGGTGGATATACCCACTGCGTGGCATCGCACTGAGGGGACTTTTCTCTGGCTGCCAGAGAGCCTGCCCTTAAAGGGGGTCCACGGGTTCTTCCAGGGTGGTTTACAGTGGCTTCTAGGTTGCTGGCTGTAATAGTTTTGACTGTGAAGGGCCCCGGGGAAAACTCGGGCAGTCGCAGGGTCATAGTTCCCTGAGTTTTCGCCATTTCATCCTGGACAAACAGTAAATCTCATTCCCTAAAATAAAGCACTTTGTATTTTGCAAAGGACTGCAACGAGGGCTTTTTCTCACAAGACCCTGTTATTCCTACAACATCAGCCCCATGACACCAAGGCATGAATTTGGGCCACAGTGTCCACTGACAATAAATGGAAAGGCCCTGGAGAGACTCCAATTCGTGTTTGTGAGAGATAGGCTGTTCTGTCTAATCCTGACCTTTTCAAAGTTTCCAAATACTCACTTCCATTGCTAAAGAAAAATCACTGCACATTTTCTTTATTCTTCTATTTTTTTAAAAAAAAGAAAAAAAGAAAAAAAAGAAAAAAAAAAAAACACTTTTGCTCAAAATTTCCCAGAATTCAAGGGATGACAGCCCCAAAACTGAAGCAGCCACTTCCCTGTGTGATGCCACAGGGAGGGAGAGCTGAGCCATGGGATGTCAGTGTGGAGGGCACAGAGCCTGCTAGAGCAAGAGTCAAAAGCAAAGCCCAGGGGTCCTGATTTCCAGGGCTGCTTTCTGACTAAAAAATGATGTTTCCTAGCAGCTCATGCCTCCATCACCAGCAGTGGGGTAATTATTCCTGCTTCACCTTCATATCCTTTTACCTCACTGTATCACAGGGTGCTCAACAAACATGGCTGGTAATTTTACCCTTCTATTGTGGAAGGGGAAACTGAGGCATGGAGAAAAGTGAAGCGACTTACCTGAGCTTATTCAGCAGACAGGTGTGACACCTGCAACCAAACCGTGAGCTTTCGACAGCTGAAGATCCTTTAGGTCTTAGGGTCAGCAAATGGTTGAGCGTCTTCTGTCTGCTGCTAGTTTTAGGAATGTGTGTGTGGTCTCCTGCAGTGTTGAGGGCCCTGCAGCCCACATTGATTTATGTCTTGTATTTAGGTGTCACGCATTCGAAATGGAAGAACTCGGATCCCACAAGGATAGGCAGAGCCTTAGGTTGTGGCACCTCTGGTAGGCACTAGGGCACGTTGGCTTGGCAAGCTTCCCCTCAAAGCCTTGGACCTGTCAAGCAAAAACATTTTAGTTAAGAAGTTCTTCCCATGGCCTACTCTGTCCTCTGCCTCTCTGAGGACAGGGATGCGTCCAGTATGCTGGTCCCTGCTTCAGGAAGGACACCTCAGCCCCGGTGCACCCACTCAGTACCCACAGAGCCAAAGAAACGCCACCAGAAGCACCTGGTGCCGTGCAGGTGGGAGCCCACATTTCCAGGAGAGCCCAAGCCCCATGCTCCCCTCCCTCCCCATGTTTGTGTTGCTCTTTAAATGGCTTTGTTTTGCTTAAGCATCCCTTTTAAAGCAATGTTTAGCTTCCAGTTGGAATGAGCTCCAGGAAGCATGGCCAGGGCCCTGCCTGGAACAACGGTCTGTAATTTACGGTGAGTTATGTTTCAATTACCTCGGTGTTATAGCGTCTTGGTGAGGGCAGGCATTATGTCATGTCAGGGATACGGGCGAGGGAGAAAATACAGACGCTCCCATTACAGCCAGTGATGGAGCAGTTTTAATAATACTGCGGGAAAAAAATAAAGAGAAGGGGAGCGCAAATGACTTTCCAGCCATACCATTACTGCACATTAGTAACACAGCGCAGGCAGCGAGAGAGAGGGAGAGCAAAGTGGGGAAAGGAGAGGCACAGCTGAGCGATGGGGAAGAGGGCAGGGGAGATGGAGGGGGTAGAGAGAAGGAAAAATAGTGAGAGGGAGGGAGGGAGGGAAGGATGGAGAGAGGGGCAGGGAGGGAATGAAGGGCACCAGAGGAGAAGGAAAGAGAAGGCAAAGGGGCTGTGTGAGAGATGCAAAAGGAGAGGTGGTGAGAGAGGGGGAACTACACGTGGACGTGGGTTGCCCCAGCCCCACATCTCCACGTCCCCACCACCCACGTCCCCTGCACCTCCCCAGGCTCAGTTCACTGGCTGGCTGCAGGGAACAGCAAGGCAGGCGAGGAGCCACGGGAAAAGGGGAGCGGACTGATCATTACTAGGCTTTTGTGAATGATATTGCCTTGTTGCTGGAACAAAGCACTCAACTTTCCAATAATAACAATCTACCTTTTTTTTTTTTTTTTATTTAATCAAATTTCCTTTGTCATTGTGGCTTTCTTTAATTTCGTTTCGGCAGGGTAAGCTTCTCACTTCCAGCTTGCTGCCTCAGTCGCCTGCTTTCCCTTACTCTCAGTCACTTCTGCCCATGTGCTCCTGCTTGCTCTCTCCTTCTTTATTTTCTTGACGTAAATGGCAGTCATTGCTCAGGGAATGTGCTGGGTGAGCCTGCTTTGTAATTCAAACCTTTTATTCAGGTTACCATTATGTACTAAAGAGGAAAATATGTATTGGCTAAACAGCATCCTTACGGATTGTCCCCAGGCTGGGAGGGAAGGCTTGGGCACCTCACGTGGACCTGCTGCTCATCGCCTGCCAGGGAATGCGGCTCATCCTCACTGCCACCTGCCTTCCCACTGTGAAGAGAAAGCCCACACCTCGGAGATGTTTGCACCTTTCGGTACCACAGCTTAGCCTTATTCTACCATTGCAATTCCATAAAGCCACGGCGGATGTTAGGCAGGGGTTTCCCACCATCACAAATAGCTTCACATTGCTATTCCTGTAAAAATAAAAGCTGTCTCCCTGTCACTTAAATGTTGGGCTTCCAGAATGAATGCTGTGTTAGAGGTTAGTGGGGATAATATTGCCATGTTTCAGGCTGTGCGCCTGCAAGCCTTTCAGCACCATATATCTGTACAGCACCAGTGGATGCAGTTCTGTAAGCGCAACCTGAACCAGGCACTGGCAAATATTGTCATTTCTCAATCTGCACGCTATGAGGAGTGCACGCCTGCCTTATTCCCATTTTTGGTAAACAGGACACCACCTGATTTGGCTTAAATATAAAAGAACATGCACAGGCAATCCCTGTTACAGCGCAAAGCCTGCAGAAACATTTCCCCCATCAACACGCTCTTGTTATCAGTTAATCTGCACTAAATTCACTATGTGACCTTTGGCATTTTTGCCACACAGGTATAGAGACCCCAAAGTTTGCATTAGCCTACTATTGAATAACTGCTGCAGGCTTCCCAGCCCTGCAGTACAGCAACTATTGACAGCTGAGAGCTACAGTTTCCAGAGTGGTACCTCTTTCTGATGCTTACAGGCTTCATTTGCTGCATGAAAGCAGTGGGGTAGTTGTGCCTCCTCCCTGCAGGCATAAAGATAATACATGTAATGCAGTCTGAAAGATCTTGGAGGCAGAGGGATGCTACCAGAAATGTAAAGCGGAGACTCTCTCAAAGCATTCTCCAGTCACTGGATTATCTCAGTTTCAAAGGAGGACACACACACCAAAGGAAATGATTAAGGATGGCACGAGTTCCATATGAAAAAGCTCACCTTTTCTGCTTGTCCCCAGGTGGAGCGGATGACTTTCTGGTCTAACTCACAGCTGTCTGCCTGGACTCTGCAAGAAGATTTCTGTTTTGTCCCTGGACCTGCTCATAAAGGAGACCATGGTCTGCCATATATTGTATGAGGTGTAACCAGGAATTTGTTGTTCACTTAGAGTCTTTTCACCCCAGGGCAAACAGAACCTTACATGGCAAATACAACTAACATGCATTAGAAACAGGTGAGATTTCTCTTTGCAAGTGGAAATTAACTTATCTATTTATTTATTTGGCCTCTTGGGGATACCTCTGCACCGACAGGTAGGACTCAGTTGCTTGCAGAAAAGAGAGACTTCATCCAAGCAGTCCTGCCCCAGCCTCTCATTAGTCTTGTGGCAGATCCTTAGCAGTGGCAGTCTCTGAAAATCTCTTTCCTCCCTCCATTTCTGAGCTCACAGATGTTAAACACAGGTGATGCAGATCTGATGGTCCTGTAATTCCAGCTTCTCTTCATTTCAAGATGCTAAATCACATTTAAGGATGTTAACAATACACCAAATACCCTCAGCATACGACGTCTCCGTGTAAGCGATCATTGGAGCTGTCACAGGGATATTATTAATTTGCCAAGGAGAAGAAACACATTCTTCCTGGTTCTGAATGGAAGGGGAGGTGCCTGCATGGCAGCTTCTCAAACAGGAGGTGGGCCAGGCTTCAGCAAATATTGAGGGTCCCCACCTAGAAAAACTTTTTTCTTTGTTTTTAATTATTATTATTTTAGGAAGCACGGGTTGAGCAATCCACCTATAATGTCTATTGGTTTTCCTCTGTTGTGATTAGTCATTAAAGTCATATCACAGCCCAGTCCTTGTTTTTAAACACAGCACAGTGTATCTTTTCCTGCTTAAATTTCCATATGATTTTTCTTTTTAACCTAAAACATGAAGTGCCTGTGGAATATGCGAATATGCCTTTGGGATAATCACAAGTAAACACATGGGTAGCAGCATGTTTGCAAACAGCTAACATTCTGAGACACCAGCCAACAGAGAAGCAGGTTTTGTGGCACTAGATGAAATTCAGCAGAGATTTGCTGGGCAGTTGGGGATATAGTTTCATTCCTCTGCACACAAGGGAGACCTCACCATGGGTATTTTGGGAGGGCTCTCTGTCTCAGGCTCAGCAGAAGAATTCGGAGTTCCTGTTTCCTACTGCTGTCAATAATGATATTCCCTCACTGCTACAACTTGCTGCCCACTTGGCTGCCTGTGGTATCGCTTGGAGACTACAGGTTCAAGAGCTTGCACAGTAATTGGGTCAGAGAGCCTCCTGAGAGGAGCCGGGCTGTGTTTCTCCTCATCCCAGTCACCATTTTAACCGAAATCCAATGAACACAAGCAAAATGTGGTCTTAGGTAAAATAGCCAGGCTTCTGGCATACTTTTGAAAATTTGCAAAATGATGCAAGGCATGAAATTCTCTTCTTTGAGAGATTTAGGAGAGCAGATCCTAAATGTCTTTCTGTAGCACAGCACTTCTCAGTCCTTCAGGTTCATATAATAGGATGTATTAGGATCCAGTTACAAGACAAAGTCCACTAGGGAGTGGAAGTGTGAAGCTTAATACAGTATCGCAGAAATGGAAAGCTTCTTTAATAGTACAGAAGGGACTTGTGCTTGAAAGCATTTAACAGAGCCTTGGTAAGTAAACTGTAGTAATTGAGCTAGCAGAGGCATTTAGCTTGAATACTGTGTATATGTATAACAAAATCAAATAAGCACCAGGAAGAACTATTCTTCAAAGGCATGATTTGAAATGCTTCTATTCCCTTTCCAGACTAAGAGCATTTATTTGTTTTGGCCTGCACATTTCATTGTGCCATGTAACTACGATGACTCCTGGTTTGTGAGCATACAAAGATTTAAACCACAGTGCATTAATGTCAAGCTTCATATCTGCAGCTATTTCTAGTCCACCAGGGAATGCAAGCCTTCAGCTCCAGAACTTCAAACTGAAAACTCAGCAGATCATAGTATCCTCTGGGATTAGTCCTCCCACGTGCCTCTCTTGCTTCCATCTCTCTGCTTTCCTTGAGGTTCACATTATCTGGAGAGAAACAAGGGTGCTAAAAGGCATGGGAGTGAAGATAAATAACAAGCATGAGAATTCTCTCAAAGAAAGACACTTCACTTTGGTTAGCTGTATGTCAGAACAAGCAGTCCAGAAAGAGAAAAAGAGAGGAAGAAAGGGAGGAAAATTCACAAAAATACCAGCTTTAAGGAACAGAACTCTATACCCAACAAAATTCTAGTATTGAATACAAAAGGTTTTCAAAGGTCTTAATAATATTTGGTCAAAAAACACCCATTGGAATTGTTTATATTATCCTTGAACTGAACCCTAGGATTTTCTCTAAATAAACTTTTTTGGAAATGGAGGCAAAAAGCAGTGTTGTTCCTTAAATGCTGTTGCAGGACCTTATGGAAGCTGAGATTTGAAAACGTGTAAGTCTGTTCTCCACTGGGAAGGTGGTCTTGCATAGAGATGAATCCTAAGATGATGATCCCAAGAACTAGACTTGCCACTGTGACACCATATTAAATTCTTACTGAGTAAGGTTGAAGTAAAATATTTTAACTTCACTGTTTAAAGTGGAAAGTGGAGATTCATTCTGAAATGTTAAGATTTTCCTTTTGCTAGAAAATCTTTTCAATTTTTGGGCTCAACTTTACATGGTAAACCATGGTGAACAGGAATTCACTAGACAGGAGTTTAGTTTAACCTGTTTGGGCACCTTTGATAGTGAGGAGAATTCCAGTTCCTGAATTTTCATCTGAACATGAGGAAAATGAATGAAATTGTCCACTAGGAAGGAAAGAACCCTTCACGAAGTTCAGCCCCAGATTTTTATGATGATACTTAAAGGATGCTGAGAAATGAATAGAAGACAAGACAGGAGAAGGATAAAAACAAAGAAAAGTAAAATAGGCAACAAAAGGAAAAGGGATCAACATGATGCAATGATGGCAGCTCACTGAGAAGAGTAGTCTTATGGAAAAGAATCAGTTGCAACCCATTTTGGAGGCAGGGAACACAAGGGTCAAAGGACTAAAGAGAAGCCTTGTGTTGTGGCTTTATCAGACCTTCAGATGCTGTAAGATGTTTCTTATCAGCTGGGAAAGGCACATCTTCAGAACTGTACAGCAATCCTAGATTTTTGCAAAAAATCATGTTCCAGAAAATATGTGCCACCAAGGAGCAGGGCTTCTGTCTGGAGAGCGGTGTCATAGCTGAATCAGAGACTGCTGAGCTGAGAACAAGGCACTAACTTTGAGTCCCTGTATTAAGCAAACAAATAAGGAAGAATCCAGCTCCGACTACTGAAATATTCTTATACAGGTATGTGCAACAAAACAGCATGATGGGAGAAAAAGGAATGGAAAGTCATTATTGTATACAGCTTCTGCACTCCCCCACTCAGCAAGGCATGCAGCAATTTGGAAAAATTAGGGTCTGACTGTTCTTTCTCTCTTCTTAGAGAATTTTCTCACCTCCACTGTCCCAGCCCACCACCCACCTTCCGAGAAAGCCAAAGCTCCAGTCATTTTTTACAATGTTTAATTCTTACTTGAAGAGCTTTTGTTACCAGGTTTAAGGAAAACAAAGAATGCTAAACAACTTAAACAGCCAACATCTGACAAATAGCAAATAATCAAAGCACTCAATTCACACATAAATGAGGCCAGGGATTGCCTATTATTCTGTCTTTGCACACTACCCAGAAAACAGGCAGGAGGGGGTGCATTCTTGGTCAATCCCTAGGCACTGTCATAATAAACATGATTAATAGGCTATAATTTACCTGCACAAATAATTCAATGAACAAATACAAACAACAAACAAATTTAGGCAGCCGTGATCAGATCTTGAGCAGAATAAAGCAAATTCACTAAATAAATTGGTATCAACTAGTCCTAGTAATTGCATTCCATCTCCCAGAATGGCTCCTGTATTACTGACGGAGCCCAAAAGCCTACCAAGCATTTTACAGGCTAACTCCATTCTGTGACTACAAGAGTGGATGCACTGCCTACACCCAAATGGATTTGCATTGACATTTTTATGGGGTTTTCTAGCCTCACAAGTATTTTCTAAGGAATGGAGTCTAAAATATCTCCGGTCCTCCCATAATATTCCTGATTAAGTAACAGGATCAGATTAGGTTTTGCATTCTTTCAGCCGCAGAAACAACTTACTGGGGCATTAAAACAGGAGCTCCTGGAGAAACAGGCCATAGATAAGCCCTCAGGACTGTGCTAGCTTTCCTCGTTATTTGCTCTCCTCGTGTTTTGATTGTCCTGGGTTTTAAGCTCGAGTTACACCTTAGCCAAGACCGTGGAGGGCTGCACTGGTTTTGACCAGCTCTGGGAGAGGCAACTACCTCTTCTCTGCATACCATAGCTCTGTTCTACTTTGTAACTCCTCAGAAGAGCTCTCAATCTTTGGAAAAAAATGCTGAATTTACCTTTCCTGGCCCTACTCATCCTCCCTTCTGCTGCCTGAGCCAGTGCTGAGTGTGGTGGGTAAGCCTGGCTTCCACGACAAGGTAAGATAAATGGAGAAACATGTGCTGCAAGAGATGTTTATTGAGTGAGATGCTAAATGAATAACCCAATCAATGCTGTAATATTTAATTCAATACAAACTTCAGATTGAGAGTGTTCCCCATTTATTTTGTGCTGTCACAGAAATTGTCGTTCGTTAGAGCAGGGCGCTATCATTAAGGAGAAGAGGTTTCCAGCAGGAAGGGGCTGGCTCCCGGCTTGGCAATGGTTGCAGACTTTGTATGATTGCGTGTGACCAGAGAGTTAGTACCATCCTTCCCAAAAGGAGCTTTAGGGAAGGCAGGAGACCTTGTGCCACTCTCGCCTGTAATGCTCCCGCCCACTCTATTGCCTTGCACCAGCCTAACATTTTCTGCTTATGGCAAGGAGCCCTTTGCAGCTGTGTCTATGCCCTGGGCTATTTGGACATGCCAACCGTGAGTTTAAACCACCCTATTCTCTCCTTCTGGGCTCCCAGTCCCCTGCTGGGACACTGCCACCACTCATGTTCTCCGCAGAGGGCTGCAGCCTGGGGTAGGGGAGGTAAGCGAGGAGCTGTGACATGGTCCTGAGAACACAGGCACTGCCGGCTATGCAGCAAAAGGAGCAAGAGGAGCCTGCAAAACTCTTCCTGGGTGACATCCTAGACTGCAGACCTGCCCTCACCACATCAATGCACGCATCTCAGCACTGTGAGGGAAAGGTAGCAAGGTCAGCCTCAATGTGCCAGCACACCCTGCTTGCACTTGGACTAGGCAGCCGGTGTCCCTGCCTGCTGGCACGCCGTCCCGCCTCACCACCAGCACCAAGTGCTCACCCCCTAACACACGTGTGTGTAGGGACAGCGTGGCAGGGGCTGCCAGCTGGCGGGACGCCCCTTGCTTGTGACAGGTGGCATGTTGTCTCTAAATCATCCCGGCCATCCTTATTCAGAGCACCTGGCACCCTGTCCCCCACATTTATAGCTGCCACTCTCGTAGCTCTCAAACCATCTGGTACAGCTCTGACTTGCCCTGTGCTCAATGGGCTTTCCTGTCCTTAACACTCAACCGAGCCGTGCCTGCAGCTCCTTCCCTGTCCCGTGCTGCTTATTTTTATTCTCCCTGGCCTCTGTCACTGGCCAGTTTGTGCCATGATCCAGGAAGATGTTTAAAGCATTGCCTGGCATCGCTGAAGCCCCATTCTTTGAACTAGTCTATTCTCTTTTTCCTGAGGATTCACATGAAAGCAGCCCCAGGTAGCTCGATATTGATTTCCACACGGGTGTTTGAGGAACTCTTTCATTCCAGCAGGTTGAATACCTTCAGTGGGTGTTCTTCAAAGCCAACTTCACTTTTGAATTGATCCCAGTTAGCTTATTCATTCCCTCCTCAAAGTCCTTCATTCTTTCTTCTGTCTCTCTCTTTGCTCTCTCAGGCAAGTCCTTAATTATCCCCCCGTGTTACTCAGGTGAAGAAGCTGAAAGCTGTGCTTAACATGTCCTCCTATTACCCACAGAGGACTAATGAAAGAAGGACTGATTTAGTGAGTCTGGATGCACATGTGTTTGCATGCTTATTTAGTCCTTTCAGTTCCTCCCTCGCAAAGGAAACCAGATCCTGCTGGCCCTTGGTGATGGGTAGCTGACACGGGCACAGAGTATATTTTTGTCAAGCTTCAAGTGCTCTGAAGGTTTGCAATTCAAGGTAATTTACGAGGAACCGTTTTGAAAGGAGAGCGCAAAACCTCCATATTAATTGGGGGTGATCTAGGAGGCAAAGCATCTGTCAATGCAGAGATAACAATGTATGAATACAAACAGAAACAACCCCCTGCTCCCCTTTTCTATCTAAGCCAGCCATCCATTCATCGATCCTAATCCTACCTCCTCTTCTCCCTTCCCTTCTTTTTATGGCTGCGAGAATTCATGTTTCATCCCCATTTCAAAGGCTCACGAGTAACCAGAACTTTGTCGGCGTCTTCATTTTAAAGAGAAAAAACAAACAGCACCCCCTCAGCCCCCCTTCTCCCAGTCTGTTCCTGCCAGAAACATAGCAACCAGCATGCACGGCTTTCTGCAGGCAGCCTAGTTTGCATTTAATTAGTTCTGTGATATCCTAAACTTCTTTCAACCTCCGCCCCCAGAACATCATTGTAGAAATCCTCACTCCGGGAGTGGCATGATAGAGCTGTCAAAAACCCAGCATCTGTGCCAGGAAGTGTTTAGAGCACTTGGGTTCCTGCATCGGGACACAACTTGCCCGGAATAGACACTGCTACCAGGAAATTGAGTCAATATAACGCTCTGCAGAGGAACAAAGATAGGAAATCTAAACCCAGCGATACAAATTGTGACAAACAAGGCAGAGATGTCACGTTACCTGCTCGCAGAGCATCTGGCTGGCACACCACTATCCACACCAGGACAGGCAGGCCCATCTCCCCTGCTGGGAGGAGACAAGGGTTTTCCAAGGTGAGGAGGAATCTGGTGGGACTATCAGTCCTAATGCCCAGCATCTTCTTTTTACAGCCATGCCTCCGTGTGCCAGCTGTGAGCAGGACCTCATGAGTCTCAGCTGCAACAGGGCTTCTATTTTCATTGATCATCATTAGGCACACATTCCAAGGGCACTGAGTGGAAAAGAAAGAGTAATTTTACTCCAGAGGGAAGGGGCCTGTATGGACCTTTGTGGACACTACGTAGGCTGTCCTTGTCAAGTAAGAGTGCTCAGGACCCTGATCAATCACCCTTCCCACTTCACCTTGCAGAAATCACCGCCTCCAGCCCCTTGCATTCCTGATAGCTCCATGAGCTCCTTCCCAGTCCTGGACCCTTCCTCCAAGGCTTCTGCTTGGACACTGCACCAGAACTTACCAAAAATGACGATGAGATCAGTGTGTGGCTGAGCTATGCTGGCTACTGGGGATCCTTGTCCTTTCTGTTTGACCTTTGCAGTCCTGAATTTCCACCCACAAGATCAATCTTTCCTTCTCCCTCCTCCTCCTAGACAACAGGGAGGACAGAGAGTGAAGTCAGAACACAGTGTCTGTCCCAGTGACCGTCTTAGGCAGCCGATGGGATAGTCATTTTTCCTCCCCTGAGCAAAGCCTCCCTTTTCTATCCGTTTACCCCTAACCCATAAGTGATAAGTGCCAGCCACAAGAAAGCTTCCCACACTTGCCTGCTTTTCTGCTAGCCACAGCAAACCCAAAAACTGGAAAGCAAGCAGAGCTAAAGCAGGCAAGAGCTAAAGCAGGAGTCGATATTTTTAATCACTCTGTCAGCCCACTAACCCCCTTTGATGCTTCCACCAGTCTTGCAGTCGGCGAGAGCACTGCCGACAACGGTACCAGCACGGAGCGATGAGTCCTTCTCCTGCAGGTGCCCGGTGCATCCGAGCTTCTTGCTCCCTCCAAGCTCAGCCTCTCTGCAGGGGAGGCAGCCGCATTCGCCACCAGGACCCTGCGAACCAAAGCACAGAGAGCATTCACCTCATTCAGTTTCTCCCCCTCCATCCCCTGCCACTCTGCTGCTGTTAAACTCACTGCAGCCTCAGCCGCTTTATCATCTCATTTGCTTTCTGATCTGACACCAGTCTGCCATGCAGCTGATCAAAGGCAGAAACCAGAGTGCAGCCAGGCTGAGCAGCCCCAGAATTCAAACAAACATGTCACTTCCCATCTCTACATGTTAGACAACTTCACTTCTTTCTGTTACTGCCTCTTTTAATCTCTCCCTCCACACACATACACACACCTCCCCCCCTTTGCTTTCTCTTCATCCTCTACATTCATTTCCCAAGCACATATGCTGTCACCTTTTCCCCTTCTTTTCTTGATCTTTCCTGTCACTTTTCCCCTCCTTCACCCTTTCCTCCATGATCCATCTTCAGGACTCCTTCCTCCTCTTCCTGATGTTTTCACACTTTTTTTACTTCATTGCTTCACTTTCTGCCTCTTCCTCTCTTTTGGAGACTCTCCATTGTTTCACAGGAATGAAGTCACTTTTTGGGGTGCAGAAATAAGGTGCCAGAAGGAATACTTTTTCCTGCAAAGCTGTGGGTAGGCTATTATTAGAATCAATATTATCTATAGATGTCCCTTGAATCAGTAAACAACCTCCTGCCATGAAGTCTTTAATGGATCAGAAGCCTTTCAACGCTTGGAAATCCAATGTAGGTAGGGAAGAAAGAAATTCAGAGGTCTATTCCTGCAAGGAAGGAAGGGAAGAAAGAAAGAGAGACAGAAGGATGCAAATAGAAAACAGAAGAGAGAGAGGGCGGCAAGAGAATAAGACAAGCGCACAGAAGAAGGTATTTTGGACTTTTAGGAAAGGAATGACAGGCAGTAAATACAAGAATTCAAATAGATATACATTTTTTTTAATTTTATAACATTGCTGAATTTCATTTTATTGTAATCCTCAAATAATACTTGCATCTCAGGCTGAACTAGTGATCCTTGGAATCCCTCTGGTAATTCTTTCCATCACCTGTAACATGGGGCTACAGATTACTCCTAATGCTGGATTTGGGTCCATGCTTAAATATTTCTGTCTGGAACTAGCTATTATTCTATATTGGGAAGGAGACCAGTCCAGAACTGTTTAGGTCAGGAAATGAGCATTGAGTCTGATTGCTCATGGCACAAGGCTTTTGTATCTGATGGCAGACAGACTGCATACATTAGAAAAAGACATAGGGATCACATGTGAGACAGAAGAGGAAATTTTACCTCCCCTTCCCTCTCCATCAGGGCTCAGACCAAGCCTCGAGAGTTGAAAATGATGTTCCAAGCCTCAAACTAATCTGCAAAATTTGTACCAAGATATGAACATCTCTAAGGTCTTCAAGCAGGCATTTTGGTCTACACCCAGCTTGATTAAAGTATTCCTGGATTCAATTAACTGAAATATAATGAGATTATTTCACAACATGCAATCTGATTTTTTTTTTTTTTGGTTACAGTAAAGTGAGTGAGCAGTGATTACAGGGCTTAATACAGCAGGCCCTGCTGTACTGAAATCAAAAAGTGACATGAAATTAGGTCAAATTAGCCAGAACTTCCTGGGGAAAGCTGGGAGTGGGGGAAAATAGCTCTGCTTTTTCTTCATAAGTTTATTTTTCATAAGATAATTCTAGAAAATGTATTCTGTGACACATTAGATAATGCAAGAAGAAACAGTTTAAATGAAAGACACGTCATTTTCATAAAAATAAAACACACATTGAAACAAGAGTCACATACATACACAAAAAATCCTTTCTCCAGAATATTCCCTAATAGAAAAAAATCTTTCAAAATTGAGGACTCCAGTTCCCCTTGCACATCAAACCCATATTTCAAAAATCTGAATCCTGTAGCTTTTATTTTGTGAGAGCGAGGCAGCTACACACCTGTGCGAGGGCTGGCATGGAAGAGACTTCTAATACAACATTGGTCCACCGAGCACATTTTGAATTTGCACCACCCATCTCGATCCCCACAGCTTGGTGAAATGAAATGGTTGCTCTCTACATGGGCCAGCTAAGAAAATTCCATGTTTCTCTATACCTTTGGACCAGTCTCTGGTGAAGTGCCCATGTCAGGGTTTTGCTAGCTATGACAGTCCTGGAGTTGAACAACTTGCTGAGCTTCTCTTGCTTCATTCTCTTACTCATCACACAGATTTTAGTTCTACATCAGCAGCCAAGACGGTTCATTTCTATCACTGATAGCTGCCCCTTATGCCTCTGCAGGTACCACCACATGAATATTCTCTAAAAATTGTTCTTGTCCATTATATTGGGGTACCTTACCTTGAGGGTGATGCTTTTGAACCTCCTGACATTTCCAAATCTTGTAGCATGGGACACTTTGAACAAAAAAAGAAAAGAAAAGAAAAGAAAAGAAAAAAAAAATCACAAGCTAAGGTCCCTAAATCCCAAGTTCTCAGCTTAATAATGCGTTTTCAGCTGTGCAGTTCCAACATTCATAACTAGTGCTGAGAAAATAATTTGCAGCCAGTAATTTGCTGAAAGAATTTAGTTCCTTTCTCTGCACGCAGATGGTCCCTGAGCAAAATCAAAATTTCCTCGAATGTACTCATTATTTGAAAATACTCAACACATTTTTGGCAGTGCTTTTTTTCCCCCCCTTAAAAAAAAACAAAAAACAAAACACAAAACAAAAACAACAACAACAAAACCCTTACAGATTGATCACAAAAGCATTGCTTGTGTATTCCATAGTTAGTATTCTAGCCATGAGCTGCTGGTTTGTTGTGATTAATCGTAGGTTCGTAGCATGGTTTCCATTCCCCAACTAGAGGGAAAACAAAACCTCCGTAATTCTTATAGTCAGGTTTAGGCCTCGAAGAACCCTTGGGGTTTTGAGTTCCCTTGGGAAGGAGGAGCAGGTAAATTAGACTAGGGAATTTTAACCCTTTTAGTCTCTGGTTCTCCCAGGCTTTCCCAGATCATTCATAGTACTTACGATCCGAGCTTCATGTGGTCTTCATAAAAGGTATTGTAGCGGTGTAGCAGGGCCATACATTGGAGATGCATGCCTCCAAAAGGCACGATGGCATAGTCCCTGGCCCTGCATTGTGAAATCAGCTCACCGCAGAGCAGAACAAGAAGGCACACCTGGCAGACAGTAAAGTTGCACATTGCTGCGCTGTAAGGTCATGAGGTGTGGGAATAGTTGATGGTAGCACAAAGATGGGGAGACAGAGGAGGCTTTTTAAAACTCGTGAGACCTGACGGGCCTGTACTTTTAAGGAGTCACTCCCAAGGACAAATAAATAAGGCTTCAAAAATAGATTGATAGCCTGGATCGGTCATTTAAAAGTCATTACCTCTTTGCACACCAAAGAACTACATGCAAGGGAGGAACTTAATATTGCATTTAAGTGCGTTTATACCAGGGACTAGAAAGAGGAGTGCCATTTACTTACAGACTTGTTAAGGCTTCAGTAGACCCACCAGCTTGCTATTCTGTCCTCACGTTCACCTTCTCCTGCTTCCTTTGGATTGTCTTGCTCTGCTCCTTTAGCTGGGACACTAGAATTTGTCCAGGGCTTAGATGCAAGCTGATGTCCTGGAGCTGAAGGGATGGGGCACAAGCATTATAAATCCTCTGAGTCATCCATGTCATCCATCAATCTGCTCTCTTTCTGTGCTAATGTGTGTTACTGATGCAAGCGCAGACAGAATTGTGCCACTCTTTGCAGCTGCTTCAGGGAAGAATCACATTTACATTACTAAATGCAGCTTTCCAGCAAAAACACAGAGTGAAGTCAGAAGACAGCCTTTGATAAGGAAGAAAGAGACTTTAAAACAAATACCCCACATTCACTAACATGCATTCAAATACAGACAAGAGGAACAGTAGTAAAAAAAACAAAAACCCTGACATTTCTGCTTCTAGCAACCTTTATCACAGAGCATGAGGATTTTATTCTTGCTGTTACCTTTCCTTTTGATAGTCTCTTCCAAATCACATCTAAACAGTTATTTCTTCATTCCTCCCAGTACTCTGTGGTGTTGGGTGATCTGGTGCCTTGCAGATGTACTCTCTGTTAGCCTACCCCAAGCTATGACCACCCATAAAGGTATAAAATATTTTTCCTTTCCTTGAATGTGTTCTGTGTCCACAGTGGAGCTCTTGCAAGAGGTCTTGAATTTGGCTTAGGAAGACAAAACAGTGATGTCTGTCTTGCTGCTGTACATCCCTGATTATGGTAGCTTATGAATGCTTTGAGAAAAGAAAAAAAAAAAGAGAAGGGTTTCAAAGGGAGTTACATTTGCATTCAGGTTAATTTAGTATATGAGAGATTCTGTTTGTGAGTCATAATAGGAAAAGACCTCATGAAGTCTTTGGGACATAGGAGATGCACTATGAGAGCCCAGCAAAATAAATGGTACACCTAGCCCCAACATTTTTGATACAGCGCTAGATTATTTTTTTTCAGTGTGTGACAGGATGGTAGAAGCTAAGGAGTTTCAACAGATGGAAAGGAGTAGCTGCAACAAGCCTCAGACAGAAAAGAAAGGATTTTATGGTATTTACAGTAACAACAACAAAAACAAACAAACAAAACCAAACAAGCCAAGAAGCAAGCAACCAAACCAACAGACAAACAAATAAACAAACAAAAATGAAACAAAATCAATCCAGGAGCAAACTAGGTGTCAGAGGTGATGTCAGCAGGTTTCGGAGAGAGCCTTTTATTGTGGTAGGTGATGAGGTCCGTATCCTTCAGAACTACTGTTTTTTCACATTTATTCTGGAAAGCACTGATGCACAGAATTATTCTTAATTAATATTCTGATAGCTGTTATTAGCTTTTTTTTTTTTTTTTTGATGGCAGAAGAAGACTTAAAAAAACCTGGATCTGTAACAAAGAACAATTCAGAGATAGGAGGTCAGTTCTGTGGCAACTTCAATGGCAATGGAGGCAAAAAAATAAAACACCAAGAGCTTTTATGAAAAGGTTGCTTTTTCCTTTCTTGAACATTTTCTATTATGAAGTTAAAAACTAAGGAATTTCCTGAATCAGAAAGCAGAGGCTGAATCACTCCAGAGTTAGGATGTTTGAAATATAGGGCAAAATCTCAATCCAAACTTAGCAGTTCATTCCTCCCAAAATGCCACTCACTGCAGAACTCTCCCCCAAGCATTAAAGTGCTTCAAGTACGGATCCAGATGCAAATTCCTTAACTTGTTAAAAAGTCTCATCACTCAGGAAGTCAAAAGAGGACAAATGTTACAGTGTGGGCTTAGACACCTCTTGAATCAAGAGTTTGAAAAAAAAAGGAAAAACAACTTCATTAGCCAATCTTTCTTGTTATTTAAGCTCAAGGTTTATGCCAGATAGGACATGATATTCTAACCGAGGGGAGAAGGATATAGCAAACCAAGGTTTTATTAAGGCCTGTGTGTACATGATTTACTTTTCATTAGATTTAGTTATCAGCTAAATAGTAATTCGGGCAAGAGTTCTAGCCGTGCTTAATACTTTAGTCTTACAACAGAATAATATCTCCAGCATCATTAAAAACAAACATTCAGATGGGAACAAATTAACTCATTTCAATTCAGCCAGCTGCAAAGACCTCCTTTCTTTTCCTGTCATTTCAGAAAAAAAAATGATCTCAGCCTTTTCCAAATCACCTTTTAAAAATAAGTGACTTTTGCATCAAGCTGGTAAAGCCATAAAATTCAGGCCCTTGCTCCCCACTAAGGGAGTCACTCCCTGGTGCCCCCAGGTTTTCTTGGAGAATGCCCTGCTCATGGGGTGGGCCATGCAGCCCACCCCTTCCTGACACACAGGTGGCACTGGGTGAGTGGTGATCCTACAAGACACTGTCGTGGTTTTATAGCTCACTTAAAACCAGCAGAGACCAATGTGCAAATCGTGCAGATCCCCAAGCCTGGCATCACAGGCTTTTAAGTATGCAAGCTGAATTCTGCACTGGTCTGGGGCTTCAACAGCAGTAGGATTGTGTGGTTCCTCCCTTGTCTATCTCCCCTCACTGCTGTGGCTGTGGCTCAGGCTGTCCTCTGTCCTTGTTTCACACCCTTGTTTCAGCTTCCCACTCCAGCTCTCACTGATGGTGTCTCCAAAGCAAGGCTTGGCCTTGCACACCATAACCAGCCCTAAAATATTTTGAAGCCCAGGTCTCATTCAACAGCTTCCAGAGAAGGATACTTGCTCCCACAAATATACCAGGGCATACAATAAACAAGGAATGCAGCCTCTGCTTTGACACCCATTTTGTTCATAGGCAATCAGATCCTTTCTATTCCTTTATCTGCTGCACTGGGTCTTGATAATGAGCAGCTCCAGCTCCAGGCAACACAACGAAAACTGCAGAAAACAACAGCAAAGCCCTCTCTTGTTGCTTGCAACTGGCTTCTGTACTTAAAGTTGGAGCGATCTCTCCTCTGTTTTTCCACTTAGATATTCTCTGAAGCTGTCTGACTAAACAAGATGAAGTCTCATTTATTCTTAGAAAAGTTGCTGGTCACCCATAAGTCCAAACTGAAGTTCTGGTAGGAAAGGCTTTTCTGCAGACTGTATCCGAAAACAACCCACTCGCAAACCCCACTTCCTATCCCAAAGCACTTTGAGGAAGTTTGGATACACATCTGAACTTTTCAGCTTGATGCAGTCTCTCCCTGTGACTCATAGAAATGTTTCCATGAATATTTAATTTTTTTAAGTTCCAAAAGGGAAAAAAAAGGCTTAAATAGGGAAAGAAAAAGACTCAAACAAATACCATAGCTGCCAACATCTTGTGACAGAAAGTCAATAGCTTTTAAATCTGCATAAAATTACATACATTTCCATGAAATTACCTGCATTTGCATATAGTGATGCTTGATGCTACAAGGAACTTGCAGCTCCTCCCCAAGACTCCCCAGATCCTGACTTCTCCTGCAGGCCCAGCAGCACTTTAATTCTGCCATCCTAGAGCTTTGAGGCACTGGGACTATCTGCGAGGGAATCACTGGGGCATTTCCACAGCTCAGTGGAAATCCCTCTCCAACCAGGGGCATGGGCCAGAGGCTTCTGGAAGTCTCCCTGGGACCTCTGTCCCTTCCCTCTTCCCCACTTCTTCCTCTCCTTCTTGGATGGAGAGGATGAGGCTGCAGTTCATGCTGGGGAGGACAACTTCTAGCAGGTCGAAGAAACCCCCAGCAAGCATCCTAAATGGACAACTTCTTCCGTGGTCCTCCCTCAGCTTAGGGAGAGAGCATCACGTGAGTAGCTGAAGGGTTTATTTTTTCCTGCCTTCTCATTTCAGCTCCTCATACTACCAGCCAAAGGCACTGCTCGGTGTGTTTAGGTTTCCCCTGGTGACATTTGTCCACTAAAAAACTGAACCCAGACCCACCAGCCTCCTTTTACAGCAGCCACGAGACAGGTTAGTAATGAGTTGGAACAAAATGAGGAGTGCTCATCCCACCCCCAGGCCCTGGCCTCCCTCTGTGTAACTGCTTTTGAAATATATTTGGTAACACACCGAATGTATTTAAAGGGATTGTGGAACTGGCCAATTTTCATGCTAATTAAAGTGCAGGAGATGGAAGTGAGCTGTTTGAAATACATTACAGCACCGAGGAAAACATATTGTGCGCTATCTCATATTTTTCAAGAGCCCATATTCAAATCCACTTTCAATCTGTGTGCACCATGCCTCTGCTGCTGCCTGTATTACCGAGCCACAGGCAGAGCGTGTCGTGCCCCTGTGCTGGCCCAGCCTTGGCCATGGGATGGACCTGGATGCAGAATGTGTCCCCGGGGACAGAGAGAACTAGGTCAGTGCTTGGGAAGGAGCTGGAGTGCCTGGCTCTCTGAGGGGAAGGCAGGGAATGGAGAAGATTGCTAATCTCCACAGACAGCATAGCCAAAGGGGACAATATTTAAATGTCCTGCAGTGGATGCTCACAGCAGAGAGCCCGGGCTCACAATGGTGTTTCTCTTGCAAGGACTGGGGGAAGCACGGTGTTCAATTAAGTGTCTGAGGGAAGGGAAGCTGCATACAGAAAGGCATTTGCAGAGCCAGTGAGCATCCTTTTTTTGCCTCTCTAGATAGCGAGATGGCCAGTTCTTACACACTGTCCCAGCTAGGCAAGATCTGGACTGGCATTCCTCAGCCAGGGGCATAGCTTTGAACCTGGGCTTCAGCCACTGAGGCTGCACAAGCTGCTTATCAAATACAGAGCAATCTAGTTACCTGGCAGGTCTGTTGAGAGCACTTGTTTTGTCCTATTTGCCAAGATAAGTTTAGAAACCCATTTCTTTTGGGGACATTAAATGCTGCCCTGTTGTTTATGCGCAGTTCCTTCCCCTACAGGAAGAGACCCCATCGAGAGAGCGCGCTCATGTATACGAGCCAGTTTCAGCGTCTGGCTCGGGCAGAATCCGCATGTAAATTGATGGATGGGAACGTCCTTGTGTACTTCCCAAGGTAGTGGTGCATGTCCAGCAGCCCTCCCGCTCCTCTCGGCATGCACCTCCCCGCAGGTGGTGTCTGGCAGAGGGGACGGGCTCTCCAGGCACACGTACCCATTCCCCAGGAAGCCTGCAGAGAGGA